AAGCACGGAAGGATCTCCATGCTCGCAACAATGGGCTACATTACCCCAGAGACACTTGTAGCTTGAAAGGGGGGGGTTGTTGGAAGATTGCGAGCCATGTTTTCAGCGACAACACATGTAGTTGGTTGTAGTTGTTGTTCTAGGATCAACGCCGATGTTCAGTGTTTTAAGTGTTTTTTTTGAAGCAGCAGCTGTCAAGTTAGTGTATAGGTGCGGCTCTCCTCGTTACATGTGGATGCTGGTAACACTTGATGTTGAAAGTGTTGTATCATTTGGTTTCCGACCGAGGATCACTGGAAAGCTCCCAGGCTACTTGTCGCCGTCGGCCGGACTTAAGTTCGCCGACGTGCCCAACGGACTTGCGGCAATCTCCAAGGTGCCTGCTGCCGGTTGGGGACAGATCTTGGCCTACATGGCATTCTGCGAGGTTTCTCAGGATCAGTCTCCTGGCACTCCTGCTGCGGCTGGAGACTTTGGCTTCAAGGTCTTGACTTCGTCCGATCCTGCGGAGAAGATCAAGAAACTTTCAGCTGAACTTGCCAATGGCCGTCTTGCGATGATGGCCATCATCGGGATGTTCTTTCAGGTGCGAGATTGAGTCATAATAGACAATCATTATGTGGAATTAGTTCTTGTAGTGTTTAACGAATCATTTTAGCCGTCGCTGACACGCTGATGTCGGTTTTCAATCATGTAGCTACGAACAAAGTCCAATTCCGCAGCTCTTCATTCTTCTGAAACTTTTTTCATCTGAAACTATTTGGTACTCTTCCTCAAGTCTCACTCCCACCCCACCGTTGTGGACGTCCCGCCCCATGGCGTTCACTGGTGCCGGGGTGGCCCTGCTGCACACATTCTGCATAAAAGCTCGGTGATCTTGGGTGGGGGCAATGGTGCTCTGTTGCCTTTTGAGACAATGCGGGTTGCAGCAGCCAACGGGAGGAGCCAGGGGGGCACTGCCGAACCTGCGGTACGATACCCTGGGACTTCGGTTCCGGAGCCCGGAGGGTAGGGGTGTCCCCGACGGGGCTGTCTGTCAGCCTTGCAAGCCGGCAGCCCCTTTTTGGTTGCGCAGGACCACCAAAAGAATCCAAAAGACACCACGAGCTTGTTTCCCCGTAGGTAACCGGCCCGCTGTGAAGGCGCCGTCTGGGCGCCTGAGTAGTACACCTGCGTGGAAGCGTAAAGCTACCAACTTGCGCTGGGGGTGCTTAACGTTCGAACTCTTCATTGTCAGATTACCAATGCTGGGGGTGTTCTATTGAGTTGCTGCTACGGCTTCTGCTCACGCTGCACCTTCACAGCCTCCGGCTGCAGCGGCTCAGGTTGATACTTTGGATCATGCACCCACTGGTCCCAGAACTCGATTGCTGAGAAAACAACGCGTCCCGTCCAGTTGCTTTTGAAAAAATTGCTTGTCAGGCCACAGTGCATGATGTGAGCGCGTACCTCCTTTGACATCAAAGCAACCTTGGATCATTATGCCTCACAGCACATGACACGCAGATATCGTGGTGCTCAATTGCAGCGTGCCATTACGCTGACCGACTTGCGGTCCCCACAAGCTGACGAATCGATTCACCCAAATCAATGCCGATGTTGCTGGAAACATCTCAAGTCAGGCCCAGACCGAAGCATGCGCAGTCGCTGTTGTCAAGCCATGCCCTATGATGGATGGCTTTTTCGTGTTCGGGCCACCTTGTTGTCACAAACGCCTCGTACCTTTCCATGCTCTCATTGTGGCACTCAGTTCAGTGTTCCTAAAGCTGCCGGTCGTCACTCGGTCGAATGTGCAAAAAGGCGACAGCGCCAACACTTGCCTTTAAATCTCAAGCAGTGGCGCGACTTGCCCCAGGAGCCTACTGGTTAACCTTGCTTTGCACATCCAGGGATTGTAGCCTGTCCAGTGGGGTTGTTTTTGCCAACATGTTCATTTGATGTCACTCCCTTTTTGTTTGTCGATTGTTCTTTAATGCCATGCGGGTGAAGATTTGCTGGTTGTTTTATTGTGTTTATTGGCCATGTCGGCGCAAGCTGTTTGTGGCCCTCTCTTTTGCGTTGCACAGTGCACCATGGCTAGTGCCTTGGATATTCTTCAGAAAGCTCAAAGCCTTCAAGAGGGAGACACATCGCGTCTCAACAAGCGGCCCAGATCCGCTGCTCCCGCCTCTTCAGCTGCCTCTAGTCAAGAATTGACCGCTGTGTTTGAGCGCGTGGTCCGATTGTCTCTCTCCAATGCTGAAAAGAATGAAGCCGTCGCTAGCGCGACCAATTTGGTTTTGCTCGTGAAACAAGACTCAGATGTCCAACAGATTCAGTCCCAAGCCACTTTATGGGTTAACTCCAAGCCAGACTGGCGGCCGGGTGCTTCTGACAATCGTCCACACGAGTTGGGTGAAAAGCGGGTCTTCATGCCGTTGGTGTTTCTACAACTGATGCAGAATGACACCACTTTGGAGGGCGACCCTGTCAAGAAAGCTCTTCAGCATCTCCTTTCTTTGCCGCCAGGAGATCTTTCACGTTGGGTTGGCTCTTTCAAACCTCGCTATGCTGAACCTAAGAGTGGACGCGCTTGGGTCTGGGAGCTCTCATGTTCAAGTTTGATTCCGGAGGACACTCGCGAGGCCCATGATGCTCTTTGCAAAATCATTGACAATTCTCGCTGGAAGGTGGCGCCTCATCGTTGGGGCACCTCATCGTTGGGGTCAGACTGGCCTTCGCAAGGCTGTTTGGGAAGATTTGAAGAAATTGTCCAGCTCACGTCAAGGGGCGTGAGGGGTCGAACGCTGGTGCTTTTCATTGGTTTTTGCATGTCGAATTGGGCACAGAGATTAGCGCAAGCATTGGGATCGGATCGATTTGGTGCTTCTTGCCTGGCTTTCTTCTTCGGCTTGAAGAGATGGCGATTTCTGTGCGTTTTTCTCCCGTAGTACAGTCAGGTTTGCGGCGGGCTCTCGGATCGATGGCAGCTACAATTCTGGATGATATTTTGCTTGCTCTACATTTTGCTTAGCAGCTACGGCGCTTGATGTTTGGCTTATACCTGGATGTCTCTTCTCACTCTGGCTGTTTCGTGGGTTCTTCCTTGGCTCGAGGAGTGCTCACTTCGGTGGCTCTTTGTGTCTGGCATGAGCTCCTTTGTGTTTATTGATATTTTGCAGCAGCTCCTCTGTGGCGAAGCAACCTGCTGTTGAAACGGTCGGCAGCAGGAACGTGATCCCACGGACACCGATGGGATCTTCGCTCCTGGAATGGGCTCTTCATTGGTTCTTCTTCCACGACTTCAGGTGTTGGCCCTCATGGGCCTGCGAAACCACCTTCTATGAGGATGTTCTTTCAGGTGTGGGGTTGAGTTTGTTTTGACTGCCCGCGCTGCCGCCGCAGTATTGTGCGTTAAAGCGCTTTTACACGACACTTATCCTATGAGCACGGCAATTGCCCGGCGCCCTACATGTGCCCAGTGTGTACAGGGTTTGGCCTGGTCGTTCTAGTTTGCTCAAACACATGTCAGCTGATCATAGCCTGGTGGCCCTGCTTTGTTTCATTCTGAGTTCCACTTCCGTTATCACTTCTCTCGAGTGCACACCTGAATACACGTGCTGCTTTTTTTAAAGCTCAATTGCCCGTACGTTGTGTTTGCGCCTGCTTGCCGTTCGGCTGCTCCACGGCTGGTGATGCCGCTGCTGACTGGGTTGCGGCGCTGGAGCGGCGAGTCGATGACATCGCCATACTGGCAACCACCGTTGTGCTGTTCTGCCAAGCTACAATCCGGGCTGCCATGGCCGACTGTGTCGATCAGTGGAATGCCGGTGTTCAGGCAGCCAGGAAACGTAGGACTGCTGACATTTCATTCTATACAGAGCCACCACCATCACCATATCACACTGCAGATTGTGTTCATGGGCATGACCCCCCAGGAATTGCTGAGCGGTGTGCAGTACGTTTTCTGTCTGTATTTGTTCCAGTCAAGGACCTTGTTTCGCAGTTGGTTTCGTCCACTGCGTGAGTGCCCACCAGTAGCGTCTGGTGGTTGAGGCCTGCTCCGGCACCGTTTTGTGATTGGTCGTTTTAGGTTTTTGTTATCCCCTGCCTCTATAGAGCCTGAGAGCTTGAGCCAGCTCAAAATGACAATGTTTTTATAGACAATTTTCATATAGAGTGAAATATCAACTTACCTGAGAGGCGCAACGTTTTCAACATGGTTCGCTCTCGCAAAAGGGGCGCCGACACTTCATTCTATACAGAGCCACCACCATCGCCGCTGCCGCCACCATCCGCATCATCGCCATCACCGCTAGCATCACCACCGCCGTCGCCACCATCACCACACATCACCGTCGCCGTCGTCACCACCTCCACCGCCGCTACCATCATCCACCCACCACGACCACCGCCGCCGCCGCCGCCGCCCGCATCACCACCATGCATCATCACCACCGCCGCCGCCGCCGCCATCATCACCACCACCATTCACCATCACGTCGCCGTCGCATCATCTCCGCCACCACCGCCATCGCCGCCATCACCGCCGTCGTCACCATCAGCTCTCTGGAACCCAATACGTCTACCTTTCTTGCCGAGATAACTTGGAGGCCGGGCGGCTCGGGTAGGCACTCATCAGGAGAATAGATGGCATATGCTCAAATATGAAACTTATACACGCAGCAAAATGTTTACACAGGCTTGTATAAGTTCAAAAGATGTGATTTACCACACAGATTCACATGCTTTGTTGTGCATGAGGCCAGGCCAAGCAAAGATGTTGTCTTTGACTGACCGCTGTCTAAAGATGGGGTGTGTGGGACCTTTGCAAGTGACCGTGGGCTGCTCGAAGAACTTTGGCCCTCATCCTCAACTAGCTCTCCAGCTGACCCCTCCTCTCCGGCATAGACCATGATGACTACTGAGCACGTTAGCGTAAGCGCAGTGACGCGCATCCGCCTAGAGAGCTTTTACTTCCGGCACTTCCAGGAGCCCAAACTACCGCGCGGAACTTATGGAAGCGCTGAAGCCGGAGTGGGTTGTAGGAGGTTGTAGGGGTCTTCGCTGTTGTCTCCAGAAATTTTCAAGACGCGAAGATCCTAAACGTTTGCGTGCGATTTGAGCTCGAGTGATCGTCGTGATCGTGGCTGGCATGATGTGTTTATGGGCATGAACGTGTCCAAAGTTCGAAGCCCTTCGTACCCGGGTATTTGGCGTTGATTTTTGCTTGACAGCGCCGGCCTGGCCGTGCAGGTTTCGCGCCGGATTGGAACTGATGTTCGCGTCTCCGCTCTCGAGTCTCGTGTCTCGATCTTGTCCACCTTGGCAACTATTACTATTACCATTGCTAAAGGCCAGGGTCCGGATAAAGTTGCTCGTCAGTTCGTAGTCGTAGTATTCGCCTTGGCTGACTTCAAGGAGGACCCGGGGATGCTGTGCGGGTTGGACGTGAGGCGCCGCTGCTGCCGCAAGTGCGGCCGGGAATGCTCCCTCGTCTGCTAGGCCAGGCCTCTGGCCGAAGCGGGGCGTCGCAGCAGGTCGCCCACAGACTGGCGTCCGATGCTTCTCGCAGGTCCGTCGCCCTTTTCATTGAAGGTGAGGCTAGGGCGGAGCTTTAGTGCCATGTGGACTATACTTTGACCTGTAAATCTAAACAGAGAGGAGCGCCCGCCAGAGCGTTCGGCCCCATGACGGCCCGTCGACGGCCAAGGGGAAATCTGACGGTAAGGGTCGGCTGCAGAGTCCTAAGCAGTACTAGGAACAAGTGCATCGCTCCTAGTAACAAGTGCCTTATTAGTAGTAGCAAGAAGCTATTAGGAACAAGTGCATCGCTTCTAGTAACAAGTGCCTTACTAGTAG